CCTTTTCCGATGTCATTAGCATAATGTATGTATATATGTGTGGATGCACACGAACACAGGCGGTGAGACCGCAGCATGCTTCCTGCTGTCCAGCTGTCCACCTTATTGCACTTCACTGCACGCCCGCTCTTTTCACGCTCCGTCCCCGTCCCCGTCCTGCTGGAGATGTCCCACAGACGTTCGCCATAAAAACAATCGTATATAACCCTGGACACGAAAAGCAATGAGCTTTAAGTCTATTTGCTGATGTCAGTCAGGTTGGAGTTTGTGCCATTTCATGTTTCTGCGTGTGTGTGTGTGTGTGTTTTTGCTGAGCGAGAACAGGGAGCATTAGGGAGGTGTCTTTTGTTGCTCCTGGGGGGCTCCTGTGCTCACGCCTAATAGGAGTCTTGTGCCTGCCGTTGTCCCCAGGGAGAGCTTTTGAATAAGGGGGTCTAACTTCACACACACCCCCCGTCCGTCCCCAGCTCCAGCCCGGCCTCCCCCACTACCCTCCCCTGTCCCTTGGGAGTGGCCGAGGGACAAAGAGGGAGTGGGGCTGGGGTTGGATGGGATGTTTGAGGGGGTGCACTGTGGCCCCTGTCTTATTAGAAGGGTCGTGAACGTGTCATGATGATTAATATGCCGAGGTGCGTGGGGATACCCTTGAGTCACATTTATTCAATATGAAGGCTCCCAAACACACACACACACTACAAAATGGCACATTTGCATTTCCCATTAAGAAAAGAAAATATAGATATATATATGCAAATGTATCTGCTATCTAGGTTTATACCATTATGCATTATCCATTTGGACATTAACAATAGATGACCATTTCTCTCCCCACTCCACTTTAGCTGTGTTTTTACCTGATTGGCATATGTTACTACAAATGATTACGACACACACACAAATGCCTTTTGAAAGTTGGATTAAAGAACTGACTTATTGTTATTATCATTGCATGTTTTTATGCATTTTAATTAATCTGCAATATTTTTAAATCACTGTCAGTAAATAAGAAAAAAAAAATAAATCACTGTCAGTAAATAAGAAAAAATTTTTTTAAAATGAATGACTATGTAAATACATTAAATTTAATCTGATGTCAGATTGCAAATAGTAAAAAATAAATCTTCTTTGTCCGCTACTTTCAGGTATGGCATTGGTTTAAAAAAAAAAAGAAAAAAAAAAAAGGACTTCATTACCTACAGTTACTCTGACCCAGTTATGTTAAAAGTATTTCACTTTGCAGTTGTGAGCGGAGAGCGGTGGCATGATGAATAAAACCCTGTATTGTATAAGTCTCCCTTTACGTGCACGTGTAGGAGCTCGTGGGCCAAGTTTGGTCCACAGGTACCGAGGGAGTCCAACAGATGTTCGACAGGCTCACCTGCAGCCCTGCTAAGTGTTAGCAGTAAAATTCATGGGCTGCATATGCTGCAATTATACCACAGGGAAATAAGCTGCTGTAATAATGTAGTAGCCTGGAAACAGAAGGAGAAGGAGCAGACGTGCCCGCTCCCAGTTCAAATGGTCCGTAACGCCGCTCCTCTTGTATGGAAATGTTTTTGGAACATTTTAACACGAGTAAGAACTCAAGTCCAGATCAGAGTTTTTATGGAATGAAATGTTTAAACAATGGTCCGTTTTTGAACACGGTTCCAGTGAAATGATGACGTCTTCCGTCATTAGTGCGTTACAGGAGCAATGTTTTTTATTTTAAGGCAGAAGGATTAAGTGTCCCATTGGTCTCTGGTCTTTACAGGCAGGCAGACCTCTGCCAGGACGTGGCGTGTCATTAACTTGCAGACATTTGTCCTCTGTGTTTGGCTGCTCACTTAAAGAATCTATAAAGGCGTAAATTGATTTTTGCCTATCAATGCAGTCATTGTTTAACATGACACAGCTCATATGTTGTGCAGGTGTGTTTAATAAGTGGGGATCGCGGTGCGCAGGCCCCGCGTCTCAGATTACTGCCTCTGTGTGAAGGCCTCAGCCAAAGAAAGTGCAGCAGCGGAGCCACGCGGTGTTCCTGGGATTGTCTCCCCCTTTTTTCTTTCGACAAAGGCAACGGGAAAAGTTTGCAAAGGAGGAAGTGATATGTTTCTGTCCTCATCGTCACCAAACAAAAACAAAGAAGCACCGAGCGAAACACGCAGCAAAGTGCTGCATCATTCGTTCCCAGTTTTGTGCTGATGAGCAAACACAACACCACCCACGTTAATTGCTGTGACCTCAGCAACCTACCAGGAGGAACATTGACATATTGTCTGTTTGTGAGACACTGTATAATTTACACTCACTAATGACTGTCCCTGGAAATACAGGCTGAAGGACCACGTCTGTCCAGGACTTGGCCCATGTTCAGCGTTTGCTCCGGACTCTTCTAATGGATGGTCCATCTGTACCTCGGTGAATTCGTATCCCTCAATGCATGCCCATAATTCAATTACAACACTTGTTTTGGTGTAAAAAAGAAAACAACACGGTGCAGTGTTAGCGCCTGGTCAACTGTGGTTTTATAAACAATTCACCATTGGCTGCAGAATCTCCAGCCTCATCAAAACAAAAACAAACTCCGGTTGAGTCAGTGCTGCTGTGTCTCTGAGATTTCCAATGATTCTCTGGTGAAAAAGGCGTGTTGTGAAGAAAGACATATTACCATTGCCATAAGGTCGACCTTGACCTTCAAACTCAATCTGGCTATTAGGGTCTGCCCCTCCCCAGCAGCCCTGAGATGTAAAGAGCCTGACGCTTTTGACCCCTGATCCCATTTCTTAACTAGGCTGAGGTGCCAAATAACCTTTTGACCCAGGAAGCATTTGTAGGTTGCCTGAGCAACCTCAGATTTAGCGGTGATTGACAGGGCCGTGCACGTTTGGGTTTTTTTTTCTCACTTATTGTTTTTAGACGTTGCAGCAACAACACTCCCTCTGTGGTCGGATGACTGAGAGCAGAACATCATGGAAGCTGTTAGAAAGTTAGGAAAATATGAGAAAACCTCAAAGTTGCTCAGAGATAATGTGCGGATTAAATATTCTTTTGTGCCGTGACGGTAAATAATCATGCCAAATAAATGCAGAATAAATTTGCCTTAATAAATGAAATGCTTTTCATGGAAATTCATGTATGAATGCGATGGTCGGATGTCATTATGTCCAAGTTTATGTAAATGAATTGTGAGCAGATTCGATGTGTAGTGAACATCCCTACAAACACTACAATCAACATGGATCAGGACGAGAATAAATCTGAGACGTCCACTTCACTTTGTCATAATACCTACTCCACACTCCAGGTTTACCAGGACACAGACCGTAAAGTGAAATTAAACATTGGCCGTTGTATGGCAGTGGAGCTAGACCATTTCATTACCACTGACCCAGGGGAATCTAAGGTTACCATCTGGCTACTGGCCACCATTACTGATCCTTGTTTTAATATGCAAATGTTTCTGTTTTCCCAATGTGGACGAAATCTTTGCTGGACCCGACAACAGCTGCAAGTACAAGAAATAAACTTTCTTTAAAGATGTAGTAGTTCACAGTTACTTAGTCGGGTACTCTGCTACGTGTGTAAACAAAGAGCATGAAGCTCCCCTTCTTGCCCTGCAGGTGGAGCTGTCAAAGCTGTCCATGGTGATTTTTAAATTTTAACAACAAGTTCCACATTGTTTGACTTCCACTACTGTAACCTGGTGGCTCTGTCGTCCATTAGTTCTGTAGAGAACTATAAGTATTTTTGCTTTAATACGGATGGACGTTTTAATGCAAACTGTAACATTATTTAAAACACATGGCGACTGTTTTGTTGACTTTTGACTGGTTTTTAGTTGTTAACTGATTCATGGAATTAAATTTTTGTCGGCTTATCTATCTATATTTGTCCAAAATTTTTCAACATTTTTCAATATTGTCTGTCCAACAATCACTCACAGGAGGTCTTTTGGGGCCTTTTTTTTTTTTACTTTACTTTGGACCACTGTGATTTTTTTTCTGATTTCAGAGCACTTCGCTGCCGCTCGCTTTGTTGTATTTAATAATAACAATAACTGAGTCCTTTATTCGTCCCAAAATGGGGAAATTCTTAGTCTGAGTCTTGCAACCAACACAGGCTGCCACCAGGGAGGCGCCATTAGGTATATGTGGTTCCTCTGGGAAACAAACCCAGGACTCTCTGCTTCAATGTATATCAGTCTGCTTTTTATCTGTGGATGTGATGGTGAGAAACTCAACATGACAAACAGACCACCAACAAATTTGTTATTTGACCTGAATCTGTTTACGAGAAACTCAACATGACAAACAGACCACGAACGAACGTTTGTTATTTGACCTGAATCTATTCATTGAAGCCCCCGGGGTTCATGTGCTTCTCCACAGCGGAGCCCCTGGTGCAGGTGAACGGAAAGCCGAGCTGCTGCTTCTTCAAGTTCAGCCCCAAACTGATGTTCACCAAAGTGCTGAAGGCCCAGCTGTGGGTGTACCTGCGGCCTCTGCAGCAGACCTCCACCGTCTACCTGCAGATCCTCCGACTGAAGCCTGTCACGGAGCAGGGCAGCCGCCACATCCGCATCCGCTCCCTGAAAATCGAGCTCAACTCCCGCGTCGGCCACTGGCAAAGTATTGACTTTAAGCACGTGTTGCAGAACTGGTTCAAGCAGCCGCACACCAACTGGGGAATTGACATCAACGCCTTTGACGAGAGCGGCAATGATCTGGCAGTTACCTCGCTGCGGCCTGGGGAGGAGGGGCTGGTAAGGACCCTCAGACCTTGCCCCTGGGGGGGGGGGCTTACGACTTTCCATCCAAGTCGACATTAATCCATTTTTTTTACCTACGGCCCTGAGTCACTAACCACGTTTGGCCTCAGTCGATTCAATATTACTATGAACTTGTACATTTGACCCAAAATTATATTAATAAAAAAACACTACATATAATAATAAAATAGTAAGTGACAGTGGAAACTACAGGTTGTCATAGCCAGTATAATGTCTATTAAAATATAATCGAAGGAACCAAAAGAGAAGACACGTTCTCAGTCTAACTCAAATCAAAATTATTTGAAAATAATTAACTTAATATAAGTATGAAATTAAAGTCACCCTTTTAGTATTGTTTCCCAACCTTATATTTAAGCATTTATTTATTTGTCAAGGTATTATTACTTTTTTTGAAGATCTCGGGCTGTTTGTGGTTCAGGGAGTTTATCAAGCTGTGGGTTCAAACGTAACCAGTGGTTTTACCCTTAAACTCTATTTGAACACAACTGACGTGATCGTTCTATTTACTTCAGTCCAAAAAAAACACAGCTGCTGTTTTGATCACGGTGTCGTCTCGACCACATCCCTTTACAAGATCTGCTGAAGCTAAAAACTGAGAATGCTACAGAAACCGTGCACCATCTTCCTCTCTATAACCTTTACAAGATCTGCTGAAGCTAAAAACGGAGAATGCACCATCTTCCTCTCTATAATACTGATCAAATTAGTAAAGCTCATTATTGAGGGGTTTAATTTTTTTTTACCTTAGCCTGCTATAAATTCCGCCTTATGTTGAAATTCTTTTGTCAGACTTATGTCTCCAAACGTGGATCAAACTTCATATTTGTTCAGAACTTTAGGTTCAACGTTGCACTAGTGTCTAACAGATGGAGTCGCAGATGAGTTCAACCTTCAGTCTCAAAGCTAACTCACCTGGTGAACAGTGAAACTATTTAGAAATCAACAACATCCATGTTAAATTATGTAGGCCAGCCTTCCTAGTTAAGCAACACCAAATATTTACCCAGCGGTCATCTGGGTCACATCTTCAAAACACGTATCAGGGGTCAGCTCTGGTGTCGAGGCCAATAAATCACCGCCCTGAGAACACAGAGTGTGCACAGTGTACGATATTATTATTGGCTCAAAACGAGAAAGATTAAAAACACAAGCAAATGTTTAAGGATAAAAACAAACTCAACGAGCAAAGAAAGATTCAAACTCTGCCTCTGATCCTGGACCTTTTTTTTTTTTTTTACTAGAACAAAAGCCCCAAAGGCCACACTGACATGGTTTACCCCCCAACGCCCCTTCAGCTTATTTCCTCTTTTCAGTGCATCACAAACAACGATGCTGGAGCCCAGCTGGAGTCACTGTGGGGAGAGGAAGGCTTTATAAAACAAACACCATCCAGTAAAATATTTGATTCTCTTGCTTTGCCGAAAGGTCAAGGTCATATTGAGAGGCAGATGACCTCCTGGGTCATGAATCAAACCAACCCTACGAAATCAGCCATCACTCTGGTGTAAACGCAGTTAAATAAAAACATAAACCCAGACTGAAGCGTTAAAGGGACAGAGACAGAATGTCGTATGGTCACACTGACGACCCTTTGTTTTGCTGAACTGATCCAGCAGGTGAACTGGTGACAGGTGGATTTGTGTTGTCAGTAATGGGCACAAAAACGTGGCATGGTGCTAAACACCCTCCGCTAACAGCAACAAGTTCATTGGTTCAAGTCTAGGCTGACACTAATGGCCTTTGTGGTTGGATGTTTGGATGTCCCCTCTGGTTAATGGGACATCCTGACTTGACCATAGGTTTGAAGGTGCGGGGAAACGGACATGTGTCCAGCGTTCAACGACCTAGCTATCACAGATGGATGGATAGATTCAGGTCTCAGGGTAAATGTACTTAAAGGTCAAGTGTGAAACCACTCCTATGTGGATAACTGTTGAATGTGAAAAGACTCACATGCTCCCCCAGTGGACACAGCAACACTGGCTGTTGACCAATTTAGGAAACTGTTGTTGATGAACTCTGTCCACAAAGTCGTACATCCATTTTGTACAGAGGCCCAGGATTTATATTAATATGAATTCAATTATTTTTTAGGTTTTTTTTCTCATCAAAACAAAAACATAAGATAGAAATGTTTTTTTAAAAAAAGTCAAAAGTCGAGGTGAGTTTCTATATTAAAGGGCATTTATTGCAATTCAGTTCCTGTCTTTGAAAATGACAGGATTGATGGCGAAGGTTAGTTCTTGTCTGAACTGAGAATGTGTTTGTGAAGAAATCTTACCCTCTAGGCATTAACAAGTCTGTGAAAAATATCTAGTATACTTAACAGCTACTGTCTTCCTATATCAAGTTGTTGAATTTGTGATATTGCATATTGATAGAAACCAACACAATATTCAAGTCAATTTTATTTTTATATCCAAATTCAAGAAACACATTTGTCTCCATGCTTTTACAGTTTAAAGGTTAGAATCAAGAGTAAATCCTCCTCCTAAAAACTCCATATAACAGAGGACAGTGGAGGAACGTGTTTACACTCAGTGTTATATTGTGTTTAATGTAAATTCTCCTGTTGTTTCCCATATTTGATGTTTCTCTGCTGCAGTTGTTCATGTCGTTCTGTTATAACCACCTCTTTCTGTCAATTTCCCGTTGATTCCAGCAGCCGTTCCTGGAAGTCAAGGTTCTGGAAACGACCAAACGTTCTCGTCGAAACCTCGGCCTGGACTGCGACGAGCACTCCACCGAGTCCCGCTGCTGTCGCTACCCTCTGACTGTGGATTTCGAAGCGTTCGGGTGGGACTGGATCATTGCTCCCAAACGCTACAAAGCCAACTACTGCTCCGGCCAGTGCGAGTACATGTTCATGCAGAAATACCCGCACACCCACTTGGTGCAGCACGCCAACCCTCGGGGCTCCGCCGGGCCCTGCTGTACGCCCACCAAGATGTCCCCCATTAACATGCTCTACTTTAATGACAAGCAGCAGATCATTCACGGCAAGATCCCGGGGATGGTGGTGGATCGATGTGGCTGCTCCTAGGCTGCAGGGGGAGATGCACACTTGTGTTCAACCACCATTGCTTCAGTCCACCCAAAACCCTTACGGAGCTCTCCCCCAGCACCAGAATCCAATCCACTGCACCAGATTTCATTTTCCTTCAGCTACGAAAAACATCCACCGGCTTTTTTTGATTTTTCTAGTGATTAATGAATTCATTCTAACTGTAAAAAAGTATAAATGAGATATGAATTTAAAATGGACTCGAGCGACGGAAATACAGCACACGATGAATAACTTAAGAGGTTGAACTTCTGGAGCTGTGTAATAGAGTTTGTGTTTGTTTTGTTTTTTTAAGCATTTGTTTGTCTGTTTGTTTGTTTGTTTGTTTGTTTGTTTGTTTGTCTGTCTGTCTGTTAATTGTCCTCTTTGTAAAATGTCCTGATTGGATTGAGATGACAGGAGACTTAAGCATTTCCAATACTTTTAGAGCTTAGAACAAGTGTCACAGCTTTGCTAACTTACCAGTGAGAAATACAGTAATTAACCAAAATTGATTGTAGGGGTTCATGATCCTCTGTCTTTAAGGAAAACATACTTTCATTCAGAGAGTTCACCATTAGAGTTCCATTTAGATCAGATCTCGTTTACAGAAGTTCTCCCAGGTTGCATGTGAATGTGTGCCACCTCTGGCAATGATGCAGCACTGCAGGTTTAGTCTGGTTCAGAAAGAATTCACACCAACCTAAAACTGTCTTCATTTACAGAAGCCAATATGTCGTTCACCATCCGTCGTTTATTTTCCACAACAGCTTGTCGTAGTTATTACATGTTTGTCCAATGTTAGATCACGTTGACGGAGCTGCTACTTTTCTGCCTCTCCAGAAAATGAGACGAGAAGCAGATTTAGGTTTGATTTGCACATTGAAGTCGAAGACTAAGTGGCCATTTTAGATCAATCCTTAAGCTGACCTGCGTGATCTTTGAAAATGTTGGATGAAGACGGAAGGAGAAGAAGAACCTGAAAACATTTCTTTATATATTTGTATGTGGAAAATGGAAACGTAACACCTTTTACACAGTAAACTCACCCATCACGTGAACTGAACTAAAACTTAACTGTAGAAGAAGGCACTGGTACTAACACTACCGATACACAAGGACTAGTTTTAGAAACCGCCAACTGTAGTACGGTCTACGGTTCCTTTGATTTTAAATTAACCCCGTTTCACTCAAAGGACAGATTTTATTCCATGTAACTTTAAAGTAAATAAAGCTGTGGTTAGTTTTGAGCAGATATTTGTATTGTAAAACTCCCCCACTGTACTTCAACTTTAGCTGTCTTGCCATTATCGCCATCATCATCATCATCAGAGAAAATATGGATAGAGCTTGAACACGGTGTAGACTAGTATGCTTGAAGTCTGTCTTCGTCTCCTGGATGTCAAAGCAAAGACATCCATTTGTTGTAAACGAAAGCACTATGCTGTTGGATAAAGGAAGAGCCTTCTGACATTATATATAAATGATATATGTATATATTAAAAAAAAGGGGGTACAAAAACCTTTTGGGGGGCACTCTACCTTACCAACAATAAATTTTGCACTATGCGACGTTCATGGCGTGAGGAGGTAGTGTTTTTTGTGTGTTTACCAAGCACAAGAGAGCTTGTACAGTATAGGATTTAAAAGAAGAAAAAAAAGCTATTCAAGCTTCTGTTAATGAACCATAAACCAGAGAGGTTATCACTGCTTTTTTGAAACCATCACGCTTTCCTGACTTTTGTCTGAAGCGGGGGCCTGTCCATACACTCACACACTACTATCCTACCCTAGAACCTGAACGTACTGAAGTAGCAGCCTAAAAGGCCTAGTTTTTTATACTTTGGGTGAAAAATCATGAGTGTAACAAAAGTCATATTTCCACTGAGAAGGACTGGGAAATTTTGAATCAGGAACCATTTGCAAAATGCTAATGTGTTTAATTTTCCACGGCTAGCTGCTTAGCCCTCAGACTATCTGCCTAGTCTTTTGGCTAGCTGTATAGCCATTAGGCTAGCTGCTGAGACCTCAGGCTATCTGCCTAGTCTTTTGGCTAGCTGTATAGCCATTAGGCTAGCTTCTTAGCTAGCATCGAGGCCAAAACAGCAGTGAAACAGACGCAGTGGTCTGTGATGAAAATTAAACAGTTTCCTGGTACTGTTCCTAGTTACTGCTGTGGAACTAAGGTGTCTGGATAAAAGAAACATAGAATGCTTTAATTGGAATTGGCCCGCCCACCAAACTTAAACTATTACTTTATTGGAGAACGACTGTGTTCTCTTGACTTAAAAAAAAGCGTGTCACCTGTTTTGCATAGACATGTTTTTGCCTTTGTGTGTATTTAAAGTAAAAGGGAACCCATGTGGGAATGGGAGAAGTATCCAGGGATCGTTAGCCAAAGTAGAGGATGACATGTTGTGTGCTATAACTTTTGTGAGTGCAAAAATTTACTAGAACATTTCAAAGAGAGAATAAAGCTGTGTTGTGGGCAGTGGTTGGAAATAATCCAAGTGGTTAATTGTCTATTTATTAATATTAATTACAATGCATTTAAAAGTCTGTCTACCTCACGTTAGCCTTCTATTAACTTGATTTAAAGGGAAAAAAAAAAAAAGAAAGAAAATTGCCATCAATTCATTTGTACAAAAATTGTCCCGTTGAGATCCTCCGACCCCGACTGTCAAAAACATGGATGAAGCCACAGGGTTCAATGCTCAGGTTCAAATTGAGTTACTGACAGAGTGAGTGACTGATGGTAGCGTCTCTGGAAATATGTGGTCAAAGGAAATAATTAGTTGTTCCCACATCTATGGCTTAACGACGGTGAAAGCTGTGTTGTTAAATTTTAGTGTTTGTATACTGGTATGTGTGAGAGTGTTTCCATATAAATATATGAGAGTAAGAAAACTCTATGTAAATACTGCGCCCAAATGTTAACATTTATGATGTTCTGGACAGGTTCACCGCTTCTCATGTTTTTTCACCTCCTCCTGTCATTCCTCTGTTCTTTGTGTACCTAAAAAAAAAAAATCACCCCAACCTTGTAGTTTAATGGTTGTGCATAATAACTGTTTGATTTTTTTTTTCTTTTGCCTTTTTGTTCATTTACTGTCATTTTTCTTTTGTACAATAAATCATTTATTTAGCTTATTGGATTTGTTTGTTTTTGTTTTTAATTCAACGGCAGCTGATAAATAGGCAGATTTGTCTTAAAAAATGTCAGTAAATATTGTCAGTTAGATGACCCTAAAATTGATGCTAAAAGAATGGAGACAGTATGAGCACATGAATCTAAGGCTAAGGCAAGAAAGAAATAGGTAAAATATTACACTCGATTTTTTTTTTTTTTTTTTCTAAATCTTGGCGATCAAAGTCTGGCACATGTGGTTGATTTAAGGATCTTTCTTTACCAATTATTGAAATAAATACAATTAATTCTAAAATAAAAGTAAGCCAAATATTGAAACACTGTGTTTCCTCTTAGCAAAGGAAACTTCACACACACACACACACACACACACAGATGTAGGACACAGCAGAGGTGGCAGGAAGCACTGCCAGGCTAATTCCTGTAAGAGAGTTTTTTTTTTGTTTTTTGTTTTTTTGGAGGACAACAGTTTAGTGTTGAGGTTTGGGTCACCATTATTTGGATTTCATATGAGATCCAGCCTGACCCAATTAATATGCCACCTGATAGGAGGGCCTCTCATCAACCTAATTTAGAGAATCAATAGGGGACAAATGAGAGTGAGCACGAAGCTCTTTACGGAAGCAAACGGACAAAGACCACCCAGTACAAGAGCGAGGAGAGTCATGCCAGCAATGACATAAACCTTTTGACAAATCCTCACTTGACATAAACAAACATTCACACAGTCCCCTGCCCCTGAAGTGCATCAATGTGCCATGCACATCATCAGTCATAGGCGCCCTATATAGACAAGGGAGGACATTGATGGATGTTTTTATTGTTTTAGCACATAAGGAGTAGATGAACACGTCGGACGTGAAGTCTTAAAGCCCGAGCGCTGCCTTAAGACAACTAACACGGTGGACTTTGACCCAGCTTATTTAAATAAACACTACTTTACAACAGAGGCATCGGCGTGAATCAAAAGAGTACAGTACAGTGGGAATATGTGAACACATTAGGAAAAAGAGGAGGAGGAGGGGGAGGAGGAGGAGGAGGGCTGTGGGGGCAGGGGAGTTTGGGGGGGGGTTTATGGCTCTAATAGTCATAAAGTTAAGAAAGAAGGTGAATTGGGGGCAGCGCTTAATAGCTTAAATTGCTGCACACAGTCATCAGTGACACCTTTTTGTCTGGCTCCGTGACTGGACTGATGTTTAGAGTGGGAAATGTTCAGAAGAGATCACACACACAGAGAGAGAGAGAGAGAGAGAGAGAGAGACGAACACACACGGAAGAATCTCACATGACAATAAAAGACGTTTCAGAGATATTGTCTTGTGAAATTTCAATCCCTCCAGGTTTATATTTAAGATCTTTTGACCTTAGTTTGAGTGAAGTCTTGAAACAAATGTCAGTATAAGAATAAGAAAACATTTCTACTTAGTTAAAAATAAACAAATAACATTTAACAATGTCCATACAAGTCCAACATTACTGTATCAGCAACACTTTTTAAAATTTAAAATAATTGTTCTTAACACAATGGAAGAAATATCAACCAGAAATTGTAGTTAAGAGTAAATAACATTCAGAGTCTGGAGAAATACTTGTTGCTGAATGTACACGACTCTTTTTTGACATAATAATTGTAGGATCTGATTCGTGAAATCTGATTCACCAAAACCATAATTACACTTATTCACTTCAAGCTCAGCCATTTATTTTGATTGTAAGAATTGATTGCCAAAACAGAAATTTTGGAGTGACATAACTCATCGGTCAGAATGACACCATGGGCAACACCAGGGTTAAAATACCATGCAACGAGACAAGCAGATTCTAAGAACTATTTTTGCAAATATTTTATAAATTCCATTTACAGTTTCTCTTTGTTTTGTTTTGTTTTTTCTTGCATTTGATGCAGTTCTGTAAGTACATGTAGAGTTAATATTGGCTAAAAAAAAAACTTCCAACCCCAAATCATATCTGGACCTGTGAGTAACGTGACGTGTTACAGATCTGTCACACACTGAAGTCCTGGCCACAGAGTCATTGTGTTGGTGCAGATGGACGTTTTGTTCCTTTCCTCCTCTGTGTTGGTGCAGATGGACGTTTTGTTCTTTTCCTCCTCCTCCTCCTGTTGCACTCCTTACGTCGCAGCTCTCTCTCTCTCTCTCTCTCTGCGCTGCCTGGTCGTCTCAGCTCTCGTCTCTTATGACTGACAGCTGTCACTCCTTTGTCCACCGACAGCACCATCTGGTTCAGGGCTGATTACCGCAGCCTCGGTCGTCCACGGTGCTGAGGTGCAGTCCAGTGGTCACCGCTCTGACCTGCCCTGCCTGGGCATGTCGCTGCCGTCCCAGAGCTATGACAGTATAAACCTGGGGGTCCAGAAGTCCACCCCTACCCTAGAGGACTTCCTGACTAACAGCTAGGTCCAAACAGGAAGTGGCAGGAGCTGTAATTATACTGCGTCATTATAATCTGTCCAGCCTTCTGGAGGTGTGCAGGGGGAAACGCTTAAAGATCCAAGTCACCATGAATCCAAAGTACAATTTAGTACTTAGTATTACTATTAGTACTTCATAGTATTTATTAATTTGTGTTGAATGTGTTAGGATACTGTGTAGTATTACTGTAATTAATGAACTAATCAATCAATGTTTACTGACACGATCAGGCTGATCAGTCAATCACCTCAAATATTTTTTTCTAGAAAGTGCAAATTTCCATTTTTAATAAATAGAAATTTTACTGTTGGGGATGAGGGAACAAAACAATTTTTAATAAATAGAAATTTTACTGCTGGGGATGAGGGAACAAAAATCTAATTTTATTTATTTATTTATTTTTTTACCTTAGGTCACATTTTTATTTTAAAATATATTTCATTTTTATATAAAATGTTCCTTTTCTCTTCTAAATGCCAAAGAAAAGTTGAAAACATTATTCAACAGATAAAAAAAAATGTAAATAACATATTAAATACCAATATTAATTGGTTTCACAACCAAAATGTTCCAGACTGAATATATATGTAAACAAAAGAACACATGTAAATACTACCTTATTGTAGCTACTGTTTATACCATAAGTATATAGTATGAAGTTCCCAGTAGGGACAGTTTATGTAGTAGCTTTTTATAAAACCAAAACATAAATATCTACAGTGGCTCAGGGTTCAGTGTGAAAACACTCCCACAGCCTCTTCTCTAATTGGTGCAATGTGAAAATTACAAAACGTATTTTCTAATTAAATATATATATATATATATATATAATGCCTGAGTCCATTTAACAGCAGCTGGTACAGACCCCTCTGCACGTCCCCTCCACTTAGAGTGGAGCGTCTCACAGCAGTGTGTGATCTTTTGGCAACAACAGCAATCAGCCCATGATTGAAAAACAAAGCCTTTGTAACACAGCGACGTCCCGCTGTCCCGCTAATATTCCTCAATCTGACCGTTCATGGATTAACAGCACGTTCCACGTCTTCACCGTTTGTCACATTAATAATATGTGTCCTAACGTGGACAAACGTGGACCAGAGTACACAGACAGAAACAGAACCAGGACGTGGGTTAATCCTGTACAAGATGTCGTCAAAAGAGCGCTTTCAGATTAGGTTTGCTGAGATTACGTAAAAAGGAGGGATGCAGGAAGGTTATCCGAGGACACAGCTGCGCTCCCTCACAAACGTGGACCAAGAGAACACACTGAAATATTCCAGGTCACTGATTAAAACCTCCACAAAAACAAGCCAGGATCCTATCAGGGCTCACCCTCCTGCAAACAAGACATTTACAAAACCAACAAATACAACCATCACTCCGACTTATTTATGTAAAAATATATCCAGGTCTAAATCCTTAATCACAAAGAGTGAAATGTATCAACAATTACAGATTGATCAGTGATAACATCCTGGAGTTTCAGTGGAATTTCCAGGATTTGTCCAACATATGGTCAGATGATTTTAATGTCATTTCATCTCAAAGAACTTCATTTGCCATTAAAAAAATACACACAGAAAACTTCAAATAAACTTAGTTAATTTTCCAATAATGCAGAAAAAAACTAATATAAAAATTGCATCCATGTATTTGAGGGGTGACAGAACAGGAGTGATCTCCTTATGTCTGTTTTACCTGAATGTAGATGCAGTTGTTTTACAGCCAGTGTCCACATACAATGACAACAGTCTCTAAAACTCCAATAGAAGTCTCACCTTCTCTAATATTTTCAGTTTCAGCAGCTTGACCTGAGGCTGAATCCCTGAATCTTTTTATTATAAATTGTTTTGTTTTTTGTCATTTGTTGCGTAATTATTTTCAAATGAAGAAACTGTTAATTGTCAGGTTCAGCACAAAGACTCGATTCACGTTCCATCCTTCTTTGTGACGACAGAGACGGTCAGAGATCCTCTGTTTTTAACCTAGTATTTGTACTGGACACAAACTAGTTACCAGTTAACCTGCTGTA